GATTCCGGGGCTTTCGAGAAACGGGCCCCTGCTGGTTTTTAAAGGCTTTCGGGGATATTCCAACCACACCGAGACTTACCAAAACTGTTGAAACAGTGTATTCCTTGTCCTTCAAGTGGCACAGACCATCATTAGGGACGACAACGCCACCCAGCTGGAGAAAATCAAGTTAAATTAAAGTGAGTATCTCCCTTTCTCAGCGCGGCGTACGTGCAAGCTGTAATATTCCATTGGTAATGAAACAATCGAAATTGCAGAAAATATTTCGTGGAAAGTTTCGCGGCCTTTTTGCATGTTCCGTCGCCCTCTCCCAAAGCTAGTAAGTAAAAAAAAACATCGATCAAACATTTCAGAATAAGCACGCCTTAATAACACGAAAACACGTGCTTAGGTATACACGCACACACGCATGCGCTAAAGCTAACGATACACTCAAGAGCAAACCGTTAATGAGTAATTCGTACCAGTCCATCTCCAGCGAAGTGATAAGCTGCATCAGTTGTTAGCACTACAACTCTTCTAGCATCTTCTTTGTTTTTCCAACCAATTTGCTGCCAAGAGAGATCACAAAAATGCCTCTAATCAACACTAACTCTTTGAAAACTCAAGTTGGAATCATCAATTCTCCTAGAAAGTTGTTTGGAACAATATCTCCCCGGTTACCCGACCGCCACAAACACAGACTACACTTATTCGTTACACTTTTAAAGAATTATATCTACAGTAATAGAAGTTTCGAAAGGAACCCTAACCTCCAGGAACCTCAACAAAACAGAAATGCTATTTCAGTGGCGAACAGAGAAATGCGATGTTATCTAAACATCCCTTAGCCGTCCCTGATCGTCAAGTGCGCGTATTAAGTGATTTATTGTAGTTACGCTCTCCCATAGCATTAGAAAAGAACTATTTCTAACATGTACATAGCCGTCATTTCGTCCCAATTTAATAGTATTTTATGCAAACTTAAAATTTCATTTCCGCCATATTTTTTTCCGTCTTTATTATTGCTGTAATTCTCCCTTCCTTGAGTGAGTTTTAATTTCACCTTTGCGTTATGTTGTTAAACACGTAACTGTACTCTTTAGAAGTGAGTGAAAAAGTACTTTCTATAAAACGTTAGAAAAACGCAGAAAATGGTTCGAAAACAGACAAAACCAAGAAAAAAAGGTGAAAGTTACTCCAGGAGAGTTAATTTTTGTCATTATAAACAACAAAATGCAAAATATGAAAAAAGTTATTTTCCACACGACTGTATTGCAATGTGTTTAATATTGTTAATTATTATATGGCTGTGTCTCTCAAGGACTGGGAACTACCGAATTTACGAATTTGATTAGCTGAAATCGATATTGACCGCGGTCTAGATTTCCCCATCTAGACCGCCATCTAGACCGATTTCATTTTGCGTTGAAAAAGTAGCAAACTAACATACAAAAATTTTCACCGTTTTCTTTTATTTTCTTCTCAATCATTTATGAAAGTGCCAAAAAGCCTGATGACAAAAAGGAAAAAAGGAAAGAGGACGAGCAAATTTCGGCAGGTTTAAGTTAAGCTCATTTCCGTTTGCAAGCAAAATGTCAGCCAACCAACTGCGTTCGGTCTGTACTCACGACCTCGGTCGAGATTCTTCCATACAGACCTCCCGCTCGGTTAATAAGAGCTAAGTAAAACTTTCAATAAAATGGCCGTGTTTAATGCTGCATTTTAGCTGAAGGTGCTGCTAAAATTATTTACTGACCTTTTCACAAACAGCCACTTGAACGAGAGCGTCCAAGCCCCCCTCGGGGTTGTCGACATTTCCAGAAGACAGCAATTTTTCGATAGCATCCTGAAAGCAAATATTGGGGTTAAACGAGTCAAGACATTGTTGAAGCGGCTTGCTCCGAGTCAATAGGGAAAAAAAATCCATGCCATTCTTTTAAACGTCGGCTAATTTAAATGTTTGTCTCGGAACAGAAGCAAAGCATCCCTGCCAAATCAAGTAACCATGGTAACACACCGCCTCGTACTTTGCCGACAAGACCGTTGGCCGAACGGGAAAAAAATCAAACAGTAATGCGCTAGATTCGGAGGTATAATTTTTTCGCATTACTCAAAACATTTCTCGATCGACGAATGTCATTGTAAAG